GCTCTTGCTCTTCCTTCCTATTTCTCTTTCCTTCTCCCTCTCTTCTTCTCGTCAGGCTCCTCATTTTCACCCAGGAACCATCGCGTTTGTAGACGTTGTTGACGGCAGTGTCGCCGCGATCCTCACAGGGCACGAGGACAGGTAGGGAGAGGGGAGGGGGGGGGGAAGGGAGAGGGGGAAGGAGAGGGAGAGAGAGAGAGAGAGAGAGAGGAGGGACGGGGAGGGAGAGGGGTATGAAGGGTTTGGAGTGGAGATTCTGTGGCGAATGAGGATGTAACATTCTCGCAGAGTTGTTCAAGCTCGTCCTCATCCCCAACTACCCTGGACGCTCTCATGCAGTGTTGACAAGACTGTCCGACTTTGGGGATGAAGAAGTAGAGGAGGAGAGGAGAGGAGCGGAGCGGACAAAACAGGACAGGACAGGACATGACAGGACAGGACAGGACAGGACATGACAGGACAGGACAGGAGCGGAGGAGAGGAAAAGAGAGGAGAGGAGAGGAGAGGAGAGGAGAGGATGTACTAGGAGCATTTATGAGCTAAGAAGTTGAGAGGTGAAGGACTAAATTAAAGGGGCTACTCCCATCCATGTAGCATCAAATCTTTCTTCGCCTTAAGAAAACGACGGAATATCAGCATCTCGTTGGTGGTGTATCTCTTGGGTAAACTTTGATGATCTGATATGATAGAAATGTGAGACAAGTGAAAAGAAAAACAAGAAAAAAGACGAGAAGAGAAGAAATACAGAAAGGAGAAGAGAAGAGAAGAAATACAGAAAGGAAAATTCAGAGAACAACATGAAGAGAAAGCAATTCAACAACAACATTAGTATTGTACCTGCCGAGTCGAAGCTGGGGTAGATGTCGCTTTCGCGCATGAAGCCTTCGGAGCCAAAGCTCCTCTCGAGCCAGTCTTCACCCGCATGTTGGTGTTTCACTTTCTTCACCTTCTTGGCGGGAGACGAGGACGCAGATCGCAGCTCGGACGTCCTCTTGTCGAAATCCTCAAGAAAGCTCCTCGTCTTGTCCAAGATCATGTCAACGTCCTGATACCGAGGGGACAAGACCACAGCTTCCTTGCGTGACGACGCTGATCCTCGAGCTTCGGTCAGCATGTCAACCTGAACAGACTTGTGCTCTACGATCCCGCACGTCTCCTTATACTCCCCGATCCTCTCGAGGTCCACAAAGTCGAAGGCGTTGTTGAGGCAGGCCAGCGTCTCCTCCAGCGCCCTCAAGCTCCTGCCGAACTTGTCGCTCATGGAGCCCAGGGCTCGAGCCGCTTCCTCCCTCTCGACGCTCAGGCGCTGGTTGTGCTGCTGGGAGGCGACGAGCTGCTGGGAGAGAGAGCGGTTCTCGTTGAGGAGGAACGCGATGATCTTGTCAGCGCTGACCTTGAGCTCTCCGACGGCTCTCGCAGCATCGGCTTCCTCCTTAGACACACGAGCAGCGTCGGACGGAAGCGGCTGCTCCCCGACGTTGGCAAAGGCCTCGAGGTCAATGAAGGAGCGCGGTGAAACCTCGAAGCTTGCTCCTCCCACCTCGTCTCCACTGATGCTCAGGTCTGATCCTTGCGACGCTTCCCTGCCCTGTGGACCATGACCCTCCGTCCCTCCTCGACCTCTGCGGTCACGCGCGTCTGTCTCCTCTTCTCCTCTCCTCCTCTGGTCTTCGTCGTGTACGTATCTCCCTGCATGCAGCTGCGTTGCTGTCATGGACTCTGTCCCATGCTCGTTGAATGCTTCCTGGCGGGCCTCTCGCCTTCCTGCCTGAGGCTCCCACCCTCTTACGCCAGCCTCCTCCTCCACCCGCCGCTTGTGCTGTGTGGCCCCCTCCTTCCTTCCTTCCCCTCGACCTCCTCGGGATGTTCCGTTCGTCAGCATTCCTGTGCTGTTCTGCCTCCCTCGCTCACTCCGTCTCCATGCCACCAGCTCTTCATCACAGCAAGGTTGCTTCCTCACCATCGTTCTCCTCCTTTCCTCTTCTCTCATCTCCATTCTACTCATGTCCTCTTGATGCCTGATACTCGTTTCCATGTTCCTCTCGATCTCTCGCCTCGCTTGCCTTCTCCTGTCCTCCTCCCTCCGGTCAAAGTAAGGTGCGTCGATCAACCTCCTCTCATCACTCCGTCCTCTCCCTGCCCTTCCTCCTCGCTCTACTTCCTCTCTTCTGTTCTTGTCCTCTACCGCGATGGTAACAAGTAACGCGACCATGGCGACCCTGCTTGTACCCCCGTACCTCTTTGTGTATGGTAGTACCCCTCCAGTATACCAACTATGATGACATACCCTCTTCTGATACACTATTGGACAAACAAAGGTACCGGTACTTTAGTAGCTTGAAACCCGTGACCCACCCTTGTCTTCAACCCACCCCCGGGAACCCCACAATGTAACCGCCATGGACACTCTTAATGTTGTACATCGATAGCATCACAAGTTTGATAGGTGAAATCACGAATGGAGGACGGGAGAAGGAGGAGGGGAGAGAAGGGGAGGAAGACGAGGAGAGAGCGAAGAGAAGGAAGACGATACAGTGCTGAAGGTAATCAGAAAACATGGAGGAAGGGCTGTCACTAGTTTGCTATGCTGTTGCTGGCATGTAGAGTCAAGTCCAACTGTGTTGTCCATATGGCAAGGGATGTGGCGTAGCGATATAGCGCGGGATGCGAACAATGTGCAAGCAGACTGCAGTTCAAAACGATGTATTTAAACTTGTGTAAGTGCGGTGGAGAAAACAAAATCTCACAGAAACCAACATTACAACAAGCTCCACCGTCGTTTTGCAACCATTTCACGCATGCTTTATATCATCTACAAATGATTACTCGACTTTCTTCCTAAATGAGCAACCCTCCATAAGACGTGCCTTTCCGCCAGTAGGCTGACACAAAACCTGATTGCAATTTCCGCACAAAACCACAGACTGAGCATGGCTGAATACAGTGGTACTGCAGAGGAGACATGTCAATGACCGACAATGCACTACTGAGAGGATCTCACATGTTAAAGCATCCCGGACACTTCACATCCATGAAAAAGCTGTTAGGAGTTGGTACAAGCCTCTTGAGCTTGTGTTTACGCTTCTCGGCAGCTGGATTAGGGTGAAGCAGATCGTCCTCAATCTGTTACCGAACGAGTCAGTTGACTGTTGAAATACCACAAGCACAGCTGGGATTTGTGAGAGCAAGACAAGATACATCCGCAAGTGACCAAAAGAAGCAAAGAAAAATAGACATGACAGCCATAACATGCCAATGATCAATATCTCCTTCAGCTGCTGTCTGAAAAAAATCTCCACAACAAACATAACGAAGTTTCAAGAAGCCCCTTCATTGACAACATCCGATCCTAAATATGGGATCTGTCCTCTTCCAACACGACACAAAGAACATGAAAGAATATCATATTAATTATCGTCTATATACGACTCACTTACACACAGACTTTCAAGTGATCAAACTGACGTTAATCAAAACCAAGACAGCCTTTCACACCTCAACACTGGCTGTTCACAGAACCAATCAAATCAGCCATGATTTGTCTTCCGTGCACAGGAGAAAAAAGAATTGAGCAAAAACAAGTCAATCCTTTGATCTCCGTAATGCTCCCCACTGGTACTGGACAAGTACAATGACACGTAATCATGTCGATTTCATTGCTCACAAATTGATCTTCACAGGACAGAATTTGCACAGGAAGCACATTAGCTGTGAGCTACACATATTGAAACTTCACAGGATATGAAAGTTAAGTAACATGAAGCCACGACACTTGAAAAAAACCCTGTGTCAAGCACATTTTCCTGCTGCAACTCAAAATAGCTCGAGTGTCAACATCTGCTGTTTGAAACAAGCTCTCAACCTCAAACAAACACACAAATCTGACAACACAGGTTCAAATGTTTCAGAGAACAATCAGCATTCATCAGGGCTGGTCTTATCATGGCGGCGGCGTCTCTTACATACGGCATGGCGGCAGGCTGCTTGGCTGCGAGGCTGCTCTCCTGCTCCTCGTGCTCTGAAAAAAAAGAAACACTACCCCTCACCCCCCTCACATCCTTACACTACCCTACCTTTTCGTCTCCCCACCCCTCCTAATCCCTCCATAGACCCCACCGTTTTCATGACCCACCCTGATTATTCGTTGTCCACGATCACCCACCTCTAGTTTCACCATAGAACTGGAGTACCCCACCATAAATAGTCAAATTCACCACCCCCTCTATCTGGACCAATGGACCAACCACTGTAGACAATTCGTTACCACCCCACCTATTTTTCTTACCTACCTACCCCAATTTGATCACCCTCCTTATTTCAGACCATGACCCTATGGGGTACCACACTCGAGGGGCGAGAAGAAACTTCAGTAACTTCTGTCGCCTTGAAAGTTTGACGCCGAACCCCTCCAGCCAAACTTCAAAACTTAATCACAGGCTGGCCAGGCTGTGCGGCCACTGTGGCGGCCCGCCCCCCCGGCCGGGGGCGGGGGCCGGGCCGCCACGCCGCCGGCTGCGCCGGGTCCGCATCCTCCGTGACTGAATTATTAAACTCGCCGCGCTGCCAGAGTCACTGTGGCCCACGGCGCTGAGCCTGTTGGGCCGCGCCGCCCGCCCGGTGCTGAGCGGCCCGGCGCCGGGCGGCCCGGGACTGGGATCGGATCACCGGCGGCCGGGCCGGCACGGTTCCGGCCCCGCCGCCGGCCCGGGCGGCCGCCCGGTCGCCGCCGCCACTGGCAGGGCCGGCCGGGCCCCGGCCGTACCGTACGAGTCCGGCACTGCAAGGCCTGAGTCTCACGGTCGCCGACCGTCACCCGGGCCGCGCCGGGCCGCGCCTGGTACCGTACCGTACGCCGCGCGGCCGGGTACTACGATACCCTCCATCATTGTGAACTTCGGAACTTGGAACTTTGCCAAGTTGAGCCTGCCGGCTCTAGGGCACGTACGGAGGAGTCGCAAGGAGAAAGGGTGGGGTAGTTCTGAGGGCAAATGGAGGGGAGGTACTGGATCATTCACAGATGCCATTCCAGGTAAAGTGAAACGGTGAGTGTTGATGATCCACGGATCTGTTGAGGCCATCTGTTATCCAAAAGACTTGTTTTCAACTACAAAGGGGTGATCTATAATTTAACTGTATCTGAGGAGGCGAAGATATCACTCCAAAAGAGTTGATTTCGGTAATCGGCGGACGATCCCTCCGTGAGTCTCGAAGGACTCTCTACAACACCAGGAGTTTTTAATTCCGTCGTCTCCCGTGTTGCCTCATCGACGTTCTCCTCCTCAAACCCACACGCGCGCTTACTAATTACAAACCTTATCGCTATCCAGACCCCATTGAAATTCTCTTTCTTTCCTTCCCTGATTGCTCATTTGGCTTCTTTCTCACTCAACTATATCCCTTGACCGTCTTCGATTGGAATTTGCTACATACATCTCAGTTTTCACATCCAAGCATCCATGCAGCTCTCCGAAGAAGATTCTATTTTCAGTCCCAGCAACTCCGACTGCGAATCCTTACCAAACCGTCAAATACTTTGCGCTGATATCAGGGTTCCGTCGTTTAATATGAAGAAAGCCCAAAGTGCTCAGAACTTCACCAATTTGAAGGAAAGTGTACAGAAACTCAGCAATTTGGAAGAAATGGATCAGAACTTACTAGACAAGTTGTTAAATATTTGGTAGTCCAAAATAAATAGATTCCAAGAATATGATCGATGTCCCTGATGCACCAATGTGCCCGAGCGCCATCGATTTTTTTTTCATTTCAATCATTGTTCATTGATTCCGAGGTGTGTTACAATCAAACCCGACCCTTGCTATAACACGCACACATGTCCGTATCTTCTCTTGTAAAACAAAAATATAGACTTGTGGAGGGCTTCTTTTCGGGTTCTCTTTACCTTGACAATCATTTTCTTTGTCTAACGGTCTTGTTTTATTGCGGAGTTGCAGTAGTTTCCCCTGCATAATGGTCTCCTCCAACTATGCCCATGATCACTTTCGATTTCATCACTCTGTCCTGTGCAATTTTATTTGTCCTCTCTGATGTTCTAAGAGAACAATGATGCTGTGATCAGGGTTTACACCACGGAAAGGTATATTTTGCAAAATTCATTTGTACACAATATATCACAAGGTAGAGTTAATTACAGCTAGTTTTACATCACCAAAGATTGAGATATTTGGCAAGCTCTGGAGTAACATTTCCATCGAAGTGGATGGTATCATGTGGTCCACTTGCACAAAATTCCTTCTCCCACAACGTACGGAGGTAGTTGAAACGAATGCTGGTTTCAACAAAATCCTTCTCTGATTTAGCATTTGTGTTGCTGAGTGTAAGCTCTCGGACTTGATCAACGAGCCCAAGGGAATGATCTGAATTGTTTGGTGTAACCCAGTGACAGGAGCACTTCTCATCGGCCATTTGATCGCTTGAACTGTATGAGGGCATGTTGGTTCAAATTCAAAGAGGAGCGAATAAGAAGACAGTGGAAGAGAACGGTATCAAGTGCTATAAGGTCGACGAATGCAAGGAAGGATAGCGCTAGAGCGGGGAGGAGGATCAGGGCGTGGGAGGGTGTGGCTGGGTGTAAGGTGCTGAGATGCTGCGGGAGGGTTGTGTTTGAAACTTCAAGAACGAGAAGGTTGGGAAAGCAGGGGAATCATGGCCCGTCATGCCCGGGGAAGTCAAAAGAAGTGCTTTCAGATTTCGAAAGATCCAGAAGTCCTCGAAACGACCCGTTTCTGAAGGATCCCCGGCCCCTGCAGTACAATTTCTTTACTCAAAGGGCCGCACCCCAACCCCCGGACCGTGCTCCTCCGAGTCGCTCCGAAGGGTGAAAGTAACGTTTATGTAACGTTTCGTCCCCTTCTCGCTTCCACGAGGGTCAACGTCAAGGGAGGGGTAGTTGAAGATAGGAAAAGGGGGGTGATCCTCGAAATTCACCAGCAGCAAACGAGAACCATAGGGGTACTAAATGCAAGAGGGGGTACCTACCTGGGTGTTCGATCACCATCACAATTCTCGTTCAAATTGGGGGTAAAGGGTGGTATTACTCGAAATATCGACACTCAGATGGGGTTATCATCCCAAGGGGTAGTGGATCGATGGGGGTGGGGTAGGTATGACTGGATTTTGGAGGGGTTGGCCTGAAGCCGCACGCAGGAGAGGCCGCAGAGGAGATGATGGATCACCCTACCCCGTCTTTGGTATTCATGCAGTACTACCCCCTTCCACCAATACCCCCGTACAAAAAGCCTCAATTGACATCAGATGGCTACCTATGGATACCTCAAAGATAACTCTATTCAGCCATTAATCAAAAAGGGGTAAGAGAGGACCATTGGACTGATATTGGACCTTCTTCACTACTTCCTTTGGTCTTGGGTCCCACCCCCATCGATTGGAACCAGAGAAGCCAACATTTCACCGACCCTGGTGGTCCTACTGATGATTTTCTTTAAGTTTTTCAATATGAAATTTACGCATAGAGGATACCTGGATGCTTGCTCTGAGGCCTCAAGGTAGGGGTGAGCACCCCTACCCCACCTCAGAGGGCCAAGGCATTACCCGTACAACTCTAAACAGGTCCATTCCTTTGCACCCCACCCTCAATATCACCACCCTGGGATACTTTCATGTGTACCCAAACACCACCTCCCTTATTCATTGGATATGTCTGAAGGATATTGTGGGGCATACCTGAAATTTTTATCGATTACTATATTATCTGAAATGAAGTATGGTCGTTACATAACAACATAAACTCCTCAACCTGTTAAAGGAGGGGTATCCAAATAACCCTACCCCGACGGATATACAACTTGCTTTGCACTACCCTTTCACTTGGACATTGGAATGATCCACCACCCCACGTGGAAAGCACCCCCACCCCCTGTCTACGAGACAGTCCTCGCCTCGGGCACCCCTCCCTCCCCCACGAGCAGGAGACGAGGAAGACAAGGCGAACGAGCGGCTAGTTCCAAGCGACAGAAGAACAGAGAACAGAGCAGAGCAGAGCAGCAGGATACATCTGTACCTGTGAGTTGGTTCGTAGACACACAGCTAGATACTTTCCTTGCTCAGCTTGGTTGTTCAAGGGAAGTGAAAGCGCAGAGCGTGTGAGGTATAGCAGGTAGTGGGGCAAGGTGAGTTGCAGCTCGATACATCGTTGTATAGTGGCGATACAAACGGAAAGATAATTAATTCGACGAGTCTTTGGTGATTGAAACAAGCAGCTCTCGGTGTGCCTGGACGGTGTATAGGAATTGCTGGTTGGGAAGATTGCGAAATCGGAATTGGTATCAAAGCATGAGGTAGGATAAGGGCGTCTGTGCGCAATCTGGGATAATTCAAGGACATCGAGCAAAGCTTCAACAGTTTGCTTTCATTCAATTTTGGATATAACTTTTTGGTATTCATTGTGGATTTACGGCACGGTAATTGCGTCAAAAGTTTGAATTTAGTCCCTCTTTTCTCGAGTCCCCTTTCAGCCTTATTCTGGCACGGTGTCAGACTTGCTTGCACTTGGATTTGGTCTCAGCGGAGTTTCAATGATGTTGAGCTGATTCAGAACTGGGACTGCAGTCTATAACTTCTTCCCTTACTTGTTTTCCTCTTTGTGTAATTCTGCTGCATTTCAATTTTATTCTTTGACAAGACACCCCGTTCTTCTTCTACTACTTATTGTCTCTCACCATCTTGCGCGTTCTTAAACTCTACTGAAATCTTGGTTCTTACCCTCTTCCAAATCATCGGATCAATCCAGTTCTGTGGCTCCCACCAAAACTCTCACTCGGCCCTCTGAAACAAGTTTACTTCGATACCCTCTGTTGGAACAAAGTTGACTGGCATTGGAGGCACCGTTGGAATTTTGTTTTGCTGTAAGTCCTCTCTATTAACCTGCCATCACCGTCCAACCTTTGGGTGTGGGCGGTGCTGGAAGGGGGAGTCGTAAGGCGTGTTATGCCACGACTGCCATTGTTGCCTTTCCATGGACGGTGTTAATCTCAAATCTGGCTGGCTGAATGCAGGTCGAACTGCAAATAGCAACATCACAGCTCCTCCGATCGAATCAATCTACAAGAACAATGACTTCTCGAACGGATCTAGCGAAGGAATTCTCAGCTCGGCTGGTTCCAACGGAGTCTCTCGTAATACAAGTTCTTCCAAGGGCATCATAGGGCCACGACCGATCATGGGCAGCATGCCATGGCCGGCAGTGAACGGTTCGAGAGGTGGACAGACCACGAATCCTGGCTCGGGGTCTAGCTGGGGAAATCAGAACAGGGGTCTGTCAGGTTCGCAATCTTCTACACACTCAACTTCGAAGATCTCGGCTACCACAACCTTGCCCATTGCTAAGACCCTTCAGCCCTTGACCAAGACTACCGCTCCTGCGAGTGGCATCTCAAAGTCATCGTCTACCGGGACTCGCAGCGGAAGTTCGAGCTTGGTCAAGGCCCCACCAGTTGTTCAACCTGTGGTTCATGTTACGGAGGTGAATGAGGAGTCGAAGCACTCGAAGAAAGAAAGCGACGGCAACAAGCAGATTCGAAAAGAGAAACTGGAGCAACGCAGAAAGTTTCTCGAAGAACTGAGCAGGCAAGGGACTGGAGCGAAGTCCAAGTCTGAAGACGAGGCTGAACTTCCTCGAAGCGTGGAACCTGAAGTGGTAACCTCGCAGGAGGATGTCAAGAAACCTGCCGAGGAAGAGATCACAGAAGCTGTTTTGATAGACAGCAAGGTAGAGGAGGTGTCGCTATCCAAGGAAGAATGGAATGCCAAATGGAAGGATATGTATGGCATGTTCGCACGTGGCTCAGAGGATTCTCATCTCATCGACGACGCCGACGAGAACTCTGACACCGGGGAAGGAGAGTCTCTCCTTACCGAAGAGGAGATGGCAACGTTTCGGGCTGTTTATGGGTCCAGGATTAGACGCAAGCAGCCCAAAGAATTTTTGATCCGAAGGAGCAAGGTGGAAGACCAGTTCGACGTCACTGCTGGAGATGACAGCTACTCGACGTCGGATTCTGACGTGAGCTGAAGGGATTAGACCGTACGCTCTGTGATCGACCAAAGTTCATGTTTTGAGTTCGTAAGATGTACAGTTTGCGCAGGTGTTGTGGTATACAAAGGGATTTGTCTTGGTTGTCTCCCCACCACAGCAAGCTTGTGAGCAGCGAGTATCTCAGTGGGTAAGAGTTTCAACAAGCTTGTCTTGAATGTTAGCCATGCAGTAAAGAATATTCGTTGTGTTGTGAAGATTAGCGAGAAGCCTTTCAGTTTCTACAGCTTCGCATTCTCAGGGAAATAGACAGCCATCTGAACTTCCTTCCTCTGAAACCCACAGCGTTCGTAGAACTTGACGTTGTCCTGCCAATCCGTCAAAGCTTTCTTCTACCTGTGCCTCTCTCCCTATTTCCCTCCCGCAAGCCAATCCCTCGTTATCTGCTCCTCCTCCTCCTCGACCTCAACTTCTTATCTCCCTCCTCAATGCCTCTGCTCCTTCTATTCCTCCGTCCTTCTTCCCTCTTCTCACCTCGGAACAGTCGAGGATAACCTTGTAGCACCCGACTTTTTTTCCGATGTCTTGCAGCGCAGCCATCAGCCGAGCTCCCACGTTCTTCCCCCGCAGACTAGCATCCACTACCACGTCTTCGATATGGCCAGCCAGTCCCCCTCCTCTGAGGAACTTGTACTCGGTGAGGAGAGTAGCAGTCGCTACTATCCGACGTTCCTCCGTGTTCTCCACCACCACAGTGAAGTAGCTTCCGCTGCAGCGCACACCCAGTCAGGCCCGTCCTGCGCTCCACATCCCCCCCATACGCTTCCGTCGATCTCCTCTGCCCTCCTCTGCTCTCCTCCTCCTTCCTCCCTCCCTTGCAACATCCGCACCTGCTGCGCATCTTGTTGAAGATGTCGTTCCATCTCTCTTTGGGGATCTCAGGAGCTTTGGTGAGCTGAGCGAGCAGAGGAAGGAAGCTCTTTTCATGATCGGAAGACTCCAGCGCCCTCAAGACAAGCTTGTCTGAAATCTTCGCCATGGTCTCGCTGATCTCTGGCGACTCGAACTGCTTGATCGCGCCTGACATGGTACCTGTAGAGCAAGAGCAAGAAATTCTCAGGATAATGGGAGCGAGTTGCGGGTAGAAGGAGGGCAGATGCTTAACAAGCGGAAGTAGGTAAGAAAGAAACGGAGGTCAGGGAGTGAGAATACAAATAATCTCATCGTATTGTCAATGACATTGTACTACACTGAAGTCTGCCTCATCCAACCTACATCCTCCTTTCACGGAATCAATTGGTCCTCTTACATCAAAATACCCGCGGAACTCCGACGCTACTTCTTTCTGCTTCTCCTTCTCCCTCTGCTTCTCCTCTTTCCATTCATCGTCCTCATCATTGTCGGCAACGATCCCATCCTCCACCTCCTCTCCTCCTTCCCCTCTCCTCGCCTTCGTCCTTGTCATTGTAACTTTTCAGCGCTGTGGATGAGGAGGTGGGGGTCATGACACCACCCTCCTCAAGAAGTGAAATTTTGTATCAAAGTACCGGTACTCACAAAAATTTCCAGGGTGGAGAAGTTTGGAGAGTTGCAAGCCAAACCCGCCTCAGGACAACAGTGCGGCGTCCGACAACCCGGTACTGAGTGACTGAGACCGGCGGTCACTGACTGAGTCTCGAGTTAGAGGCAGGGCCGGGCCCGTTCCATACAGACGGACAGCCGGGGCCTCACCCGTCGGAAGGCCCCCGGAGTCTTTTAGGCTCAACGATGTCGCGGGACATGAAACTCAAGGCTCAGATGAATAAACCCACGGTGGTGGGCTTCTTCACTACCGTCGTTGGCTGCTAGGCTATGTCGCTCAGCACTGACTCAGGCTCCTCCTCCTCCTCCTCCTCTTCCCAGTCCTCCTCCTCCTGTCTGATCTTAGTAGCGTCTCAGTGTCACTGAGCCTTGCCGCTCGGCGGCTGCTGTTCCCAAACTCGTACTCCGAGCCTACTATCCCACGGCATCCTCCGGGTTTGCTCTCTCCTCCACTCAGCTCCCGCCTCAAGGAAGCGCTCCCTGCCCGACGATCTTCGCTCCCAGGCACTGACCGTAGAGGCCGATGCAGGCATAAACATTGGGAGGGAGATCATCGAAGGCCAGCCCCTGCTGCACGATGAGCCAGCGGCAGGAGCAGGAGCCTCTTGGTTACCTGCTGCCTCCCGTTGATGAGAAAAGAGAGTCTGGGGCCATCGCGGATGACGCGGATCTGGTCGAGGAGGATCAGGAGGAGGGCAGAGGAGGGTCAGAGAAGAGGATCATGAGCAGGAGAGCGCAGCAGAGGGGAGGGAGGGACACATGCAGGTTAAGATCTGGCCAAGGCAGAAAGCCCAGGAAGGGCAGGGGAGCGAAGCGGGTGGGAAGGACGTCCGGCTTACTTCATCAGCAGTGTTGAGCTTGCCAAGGCCAAACTTGCGATCTCCAGGCATCTTGAGAGGCGAAGAGGTCAGATTGAAGACATCATCGATAGCTCAGAGAGCCACCACAGAGTTTGCAAGCTATCATCACCATCACCACCACCATCACCATCACTATCACTATCACCACCACCATCACCATCAGCACCATCACCACCACCAGCAGCATCGCAGTAATCATCATCATCATCATGATCCATCTCCGTCGTTGTCATCGTTATCAGCAGCAGCAGCAGCATCGCAAGAAGGCATGTGGTCATGCTTACAAGCTTGAAACTATGCTCGTTGACCGAGGGTTTTTCGTCGAAAAGAATCCATGTGTCTGCATTGGGAAGCCCTGCCAGAACAAATCACTAATGACGATGATGGAGCCAGGAGGAGGAGGAGGAGGAGGAGGAGGAGGATGAAGGAGGAGGAGGAGGACGAAGGAGGAGGAGGAGGAGGAGGAGGAGGAGGAGGACGAGGACGAGGAGGAGGACGAGGACGAGGACGAGGACGAGGAGGAAGAGGAGAAGGAGGAGGAGGAGGAGGAGGAGGAGGAGGAGGATGATGAAGGAGGAGGAGGAGGAGGAGGAGGAGGAGGAGGAGGAGGAGGAGGAGGAGGAGGAGGAGGAGGGAAAGTGATGGCTCGCTCCTCTTGGTGGTTCTAGAGGAAACTTACCAGTAGCAGGCTCTTTGAAAGGATGGTGGGCGGA